TGTGAAACATGAGTCACAATAAAAGAACTCAAAGATCTGTAAAAGCAAGCTGAAAAGTCAAGGTGGCTTGAGCAAATGCTTTTTGGTTAACACTATTGGTTAGATTTAGGGTAGGGTTTTTGTAGGTGCTACACTATTTTCAAATGCGTTAGAATGAAATCCGATACATACAACAACCAAGATATTAAAACGTTGATAGATTCAAGTTCATGTTTTTTGGGGGGATAAAATTTTACTTTTTGCATCACTCACAGGACATTTCACTTTGAATGAGTCATAAAATGTGCAATGTAAAATCATTTTGCAGAAATGTCACCACAGGCACGTTTTTTCATTTGAAATTGTGCGCTCAAATGAAAGAGATGCATTGTGGAAGTAAATGTGGTCATTTTTGAATTCATCAGATTAGATAATTCAAGAAAAAATGTGTCTGATATTACTTGGAGTTCATTTTTGGAAATGGAAAGTCAATTGTCAATTGCACTCTGGGATACAGTATTCCATGCAGTGTGTGCTCGAGTTAAAAGTTATGTACTTTGGCAAACGCAGTACGTCACCCTGGTATTCCATGCATAGAGGAAATTTGCATACTACACACAGTTTGCATGTTGAATGCTGCAGATATAATAAGAGTAGTGTGAAAGTATACGACTCCAAACACAGCTTTAGTATGCATTTATATGTCTATGTGTGTGTGTGTGAAGGCAGTACATCAGAGCCATCAGCAGGGTCTCTCTCCGCTCCGCAGCCCTGCACTTGCTAAGCAGATGACGATAGTCGAGCAGGACTGCTAAAGCAGCACATCTGGAGTTCATCGTAACCCACACACACCGCCACCTCTGTGCTTATGACAACGTGGCAGTGCTGCTTTTCTCACTGTGAAATACGTTTACTGCAGGCAACAACACTATATGACATTCTAAATTTATAGTCCAGCTACTTTCGCACAAGATTGGTTTACACAAAATACTGAAAAAACTATACAGGTGCATCTCAATAAATTAGAATGTCATGGAAAAGTTCATTTATTTCAGTAATTCAACTCAAATTGTGAAACTCGTGTATTAAATAAATTCAATACACACAGACTGAAGTAGTTTAAGTCTTTGGTTCTTTTAATTGTGATGATTTTGGCTCACATTTAACAAAAATCTCAACAAATTAGAATACTTTATAAGACCAATAAAAAAACATTTTTAGTGAATTGTTGGCCTTCTGGAAATTAGCTGATTGGCATGTTACCATATTCTAATTTGTTGAGATAGAGAATTGGTGGGTTTTTGTTAAATGTGAGCCAAAATCATCACAATTAAAAGAACCAAAGACTTAAACTACTTCGGTCTGTGTGCATTGAATTTATTTAATACACGAGTTTCACAATTTGAAACTTTTCCACGACATTCTAATTTATTGAGATGCACCTGTAGAATGCAATTTATTGAAAACGTAGCGATGAGCAGCAACATTTAACTAAATATTCCCTAAACGCTGTTGAGTGACTTGAATCATTGAATCATTCTTTGAAGTAGTTAATTTACATGAATCATTCAAGTGAACCGATTCACTAGAATTAATTAAGACTTGCCAATGCAACATTTGAGAGAGAGTGCAATAGTTGCCATTTGTCAGACAAACCAATGATACCACCCCAAATTCATGTCAATGGTTAAGAGATTTTGCTCAAATGCTCGAAAAGCAAAGGTTGTTTGTTGGGATCCATGAAGAACCTTTCCATTGTTCTAAGATCCATGCAACCTTTCCATTGTACAAAAGGTTTTTATAGTGGAAAAAAGGTTCTTTTGATCATTACATTGTTCTTCACACTAAGAAAAAATGGTTCTTTTAAGAACTGTTCACTGAAAGGTTCTTTGGGGAACCCAAAATGGTTCTTCTTTGGCGTTTTTACTCTTAAAAATAAAGGTTCTTTATGGGCATCAGTGGTTCCTTTAACATCCATGGACATTTTTCTTTGCACAAAATGTTTTTCAGATTTTTTAAATGTTCTTCTCAAATGGTTCTTTTAAGAACTGTTGACCGAAAGGTTCTTTGAAGCACCCAAAATGGTTCTTCTGTGGTGTCAGAAAACCCACTTTTGGAACCTGTCTTTTTAGAGTGAACCAACAGAGCAATGATTTGTGGGATATAAACCAATGAATTGCTTTGTTATATTTGTTGATTCTGTGTATTAAATTGGGAAAAGATAAACTATTGAAACCAATACCGATTCAGCTTCCCACTCTGAAGGGAAACAGAGTGTGCATGTCCCTGTTTGAACCGATTTTGGGTCTCCGTTGCTGTCAGCATTGAGAAACACCATCATCTGAGTTTATTTCTGAAGCTGTTTGAGGAAATTAGATGCAGGGGTGGTATTTCAGAATCCTGTCTGGAGCTCAACATGTTCTGGCTCTGCCACTGTGAATCATTAATGAGGCCGTTGTGAGACCGAGAGCAAAAGAAAATAAGCCCTGACCTCGAAATAGGACACAAACAAGAGGATTACTTCTGTTACTCTTATTTATTTATTTATTTGCTCTGCATGAGAGCGTAGCGGTTCTTCAGCAGATGCTCACCTCAAAATCAGATGATAAATCCTTTTAAAATGTCCAATTGCAATAATATTTTACTGTATTACCTTTTTTTTACTGTATTTTTATCAAATAAATGCAGCCTTGGTGAGCATAAGAGACTTCATTCCTTTGTCAAGACTGTTTGGTGCAAAAAAAAAAATAATAATTTGGGGTTAAATAGTTTCTACCAATTTTCAATAATAAGCTTATCGCAATGCATTCTGGGATTACCTATTCTGCAATACGATACACCCAATGCTACGTGACATTTTTGTCAAAATTATATGTATGTTTGAATTTTGTCCAAATTAAATGAATGTTTTGACTAATTGTCAGTAGCCAACCGCACTATAGTACTTTTTAACACATTTGGTTACTGTAAACAAGATTCTGCAGATTTTCACTCAAAATCGCAAAGTCGCACTGAAAAAAAAAAGAACAATTATGATGAATGTCTCCTCCGTTTAAAGTTCAGTGCCACTCTTTAAGTTGAATGGGAGGATGAATGAAAGAAGGAGAAGAAAAACGATTTTACTCGAAGGAAATGGTATCCCACACACACAAACAGCAAACATCACACATATGTGCTGATGCAGCGAGTTACAAATCTCCACTGACAGGCGTGACATGATATTGATATCTCGATGGGCACAAACGTGAATATTCTAGTCTGGCAGCGCTTTCAGCCTCTCCTTCTCTGGAAGATTTAATCTAAAATCATAAACACTCACATAAAACAGCCTTTATGATTTCATGCCTGGATGTCAGACAGTCACTTAAATGAGCGTCAGGTGTTTGGCCGACTGCCCTGTTTTGCAGAAATGTGATTCCCAGTCTTGTCTCTCTTGTGGCGGACAGATACACGCTTATAATTCCACCTCCCAGCAACTGTTTAGAAGTTACATTTTGAATGCTTTGTTCCTGGACGGCGTCCCCTGGCTCTTTGTGCGGCAGCGATCTTAATCTCTTGAGCAGAATGTTGTTGTGGGAAGGTCTGGTGATCTCGTAGACTCATGAAAAGCAGAATCTTATTCCAACTGCTAAAACCAAGTGGGTTTGCTTTTGGGAAGGTGAGAGAGAAAATGGAAAGGAAGAGCGAGAGGGAGCGAGTTGTAGAGGAGATCAGTTAAAAGCACACTAGAAGTCACTTCCTCTCTGGTGACCACAGATTTGCTGAGCTTTTGATTATTTCCAATGCTACCTGAACTCATAAAACAAAGATATTTGGTCATTGTGAAAGTTATTGTCAGTAGGCCATAACATAAAACTAGCAGGGTTAGAGGTCAGACTGTGACAGATGATTGGCTTGGCTAAAAAAAAAGGAAAATAGGGGGGTGAGTCTATAGATAGCTCTAGCTAGTATTCCATGTCAATGAGTTTTTTATTATTTTTTTTTTTTTTATAATTATATTTAAAAAGATACATTATATTATTTATCCTTTTTATTTTACTATTCAGCAAGGATGTATTAAATTGATCAAAAATGACAAAGACGTTTATAATTTCACAAAAGATTTCCATTTCAAATAAATGCTGTTCTTTTAAACTTTCTATTCATAAAACAAAATCCTGAAAACAAGCTTTGCTATCACAGGAATACATACTATATACATAGGAATAAATATATATAGTATAATATTATGTTAAAATGTATTAAAATAGAAAACATTTATTTTAAATTGTAACATTTCACAAGAGTACTGTTTTACAATATTTGTCATCAAATAAATGCAGCGGTGCTGAGCATAATATAATATGTATATTTTCTAATAATATTTACTATATGTATAATGTTATAATATAAGGAAATAAATTAAATATTAAATTAGGTAAATATAATAAATCTCAATTTATTATTAGTATATTTTCTTGTAGTAATCATACCCGCTTTAATTATAATATTTGCATTATAATGCTGAATTTAAATAGTATATAATATTATATATAAAAATTAATATTTGAAATATTACATAATACAACACCAAAAATTAACATATATTAATTTAAATAACTTTAGTATTGATATTGAATGCTACAGTAGTCTAATTTTGTATTGTTTTTGAGGGATGTATCATAATAATTATACTTCTACATACATTTTATGTTTACTTTGTTTTACACAAGTAACTATAAAGTAAACTATATTTACATGCGTTTTTTTTTTTGTTCTTTCTGTCCACAATAAACGAGCACTACCTTTTTCACTTTAGAAGCCAAACTAATGTTTTGAATATATTTGTTTATCTTGACAAATGCAAATGGGGCATGGATAAAGTGAGCAGTATTATGACATAACAGGGCAACGGTAGCGTCCTTCCTTTGTATTAATATTAGAACACCTGTCTGAGAGGTTAGTCATGTGACTCTTACCATGCTTTAAGTTCAGTATCATATGCTAAAACGAACCCGTCTCCCCCTCTATTTCGGGTACAGGAAGGTCTTTGGGTTTGGTCATGGACGAGCAGGCTGGAAGCGTAGGCAACAGCCCTCAGCACGGCCGCGGATCAGCCAGGCAGGACGTTTTCCGCTGCGGTTGGCTCCGGAAGCAAGGAGGCTTCGTGAAGACCTGGCACACGCGTTGGTTCGTCCTGCGAGGAGACCAGCTGTACTACTACAAAGATGAGGACGAGACCAAAGCTTTGGTGAGTCGCTGGTGATTTTGGATTTCATCATTTACTCTAAACTCACAGTGTGCAACTTTACATGCAAACATATGCAGATGTGCACATTACACTGTTTAAAGTCTACACATCAGTTGCCAGTTCATTCACACGCAACTATCATGACATTCTCCGAGTTCAAATCTCATGCCAAGATGCAAACAAGAGAGGTGAAGAGAGAGTGACCTGATTTGTACCTCACTGAATGATGGCTTGTCACGGTTCTTCATCTAACAATGCAGATTTTTATCCCGGAGGTCATGCAGCTGGGCTCGAGTAGGTGGACAAATGTGTTTACTATGGAATCAGGTGGGAATTTGAGAAGGTTCTGTAAATCTCCCTTAAAACCATCCCATCGTGTGCGTCTACTGAGAGGAATATGGGCTCTTTGCCCACAGGAATATTTAAGATTTATACCTTCACGTCTATATTTTAATGTTCGCCTCGTCTATATCTTTGAAGTTCCATCTTCAGCTTTAATTTTCATGTTTAATGCACTGTTAGAGCTTGTCGCAGGTTTCATCAGCAGTCAGATATTGGATTTCAAGGGTAGGCAGCTTCTTCATTCGGGGTTTTTGTTGACAAAGCTATCAAAGGACACTGAATATGACTTTTAAAGGAAACGAGAGGCTTTGAAGTTCTTCAGACGACTATATTTGAGGTTGTTAAAATACTTTAAGGATGGATGCTGTGAAGCTCTTCTAGAATCCCCCGGCAAATATTTACACAAATATGAGACAGTCTTCTATCAAAATACTAACATGTGCTCTACTTTGAATAGTTCTGTTAGAATAACCCTCGCAATGAGATTTTTTGCCCATGTTTTCATATAAAAAGTGCAATATCTCAGTAAGTATTCCAAGTAAATATTATAACAAATAATATAACAAAGAGATGTATTTATAATATTCGTGTACAATATTTTTATAATATTATAATTCTTAAAGTTCTTAATATTAATTTACTATGTATAAGGTTAAAATATGAAGTGTGTGTAAAACATTTTATATTTTGTTTTATATTCTAAACATATTTAATGTATATAACTTTCTAATATTATAAATTAAGTATAATAAATAAACATCAGTGATTTATTATTATTGTATTTTCTTTGTTATAATAATCATATTTGCTTATTTGGTTAATAACGCTTTAGTATAAATATTTTGAGAAATTATTTTGTCATAATATTTACTATTATTTCTAATAGTTATACTCAATATTCTAATATTGTTCTAATATTCTATTATTATTTACTTTTATTTTCTTATTTTCTCCATTTATACATTAGTAAAGTTATTTAAAAATATAATGTTGATTTTTTTATTTATAAATGAAATATTAATTTATTATAATAATCATATCTCCTGTATTATTATAATATTTTTGATTATATTATTTATTTTTATAATATTATATAGTAAAGATTATTATGAATAAATGCATCTGTAATATTTTTGTAGAACAATCTGTGTGAAGCGTTTGGTTTATGTTAGTAGAAGCTGAGGTTTGCGTGAATTTACTTGTTTGTCTGTAACCTACTGTACAATGTTTTATTGTACATAAGCCGCCATTCAAAGAATCGAAAGCAGTTTGAGGGTCAAGTGTACAAACATTTCGGTCAAACTAGTTGAATTATTGATCGATTCTCATTCATGCGTTTTCTGTGGGTTAATCCCTCACTGTGTCTGGACTGGTGCTTTTCGAGAGTGTATTGTGTGTGAACATTTACATCTCTTTGCACACGTGTGTATGAGTGCGAAAGCAATAGAAGGTGAACTCAGACATGCTTTGCCATGACAAAGCAAGTGCACGAATGCGAAACACAACAACCTAAATCAGCCTCATGTGCCTAAAGATGGACTAGACCAATTCATAAGACCTGTGATGACCTGCTAACATCAAAACAGTGGATATACTCATGCTTTCTGATCCGGAGGCACTGCTGAGTATTTGAAGAGCGAATGGAAAGGCAGATATGAGTCAGTGGCTGTTATGACAGGCTGTTGTTGACACAATAACCAGACCTTCAACCATGAAAGAGTGGCTTTTGCATATTGTTTAATCACTGGCTTAAACTATTCCATATGCGCAGAACTAGTCAAAATAGTTCCATGTATGTGTGCTGGGCTCAGAGGTCTCCATGGCAACGGTTTGCAGTGCTACAGGGAAAACCACTGACAGCACACCAGACAGAAGATTCAGATCATGTTTTGACTGCCTGTGCTGAGAGAGAGAGAGAGAGAGAGAGAGAGAGTGAGAGGTATATTTGCTCTGTATTCTGCAACCGTCTAATCAGAAACAGACAATTGTTCACTGCTTAACAAACAGGCTTTCTCAAGTTCTGCAACCAGCCAGCCATCGCTTTCCAGTTGGAAATCATAGATACAGCATCCATCCATCCATCTACCATCTATTTGTCTGTCTATCTATCCATCCATCCATCCATCTTATAGTTTATTTTATCAAATAATACATTTTATTATATTCATTGCTTTAAAATTACTATTAAATACGTTTATTACTACTTTTATTCAGCAAGGATGCACTAAATGCATCCATCCATCCATCCTTTTATTGTAAATGTTATTTGTTTTTATTATATAATACACTTTATTATATTTATTGCATTAAAATTTTGTTGTAAACTTATTATACATTTTATTCGATCTTCTTTCAATCTACACTATAATAATTAAACATCTGAATATTGTTTCAACACCCAATTTATATGGGTTATATTATGTGTTTTATAATGAAATATAGGATGTATTTTACTGTTTACTATTATTTATGAAGAGATGGATTACAATGTGTATTATATTTGTGAATATTTTTACTTAAAGAAGAAACATGGTGAAACACAATGGCCTGTCATGTTGAAATGCCATAGTCATTCAGTTTCTGCATTTGAATAGAATTAAATGGTGGTATTCAGTCTTTTGGTGGCTTTCACAAGAACCAGCATGACTTCAGCTCAGCGTATTGACAGAGTCAAAAAGTAAGGAAAATGCTCCTGTCTGATAGCAATGGCTTCAAAGCCTTTGCACAATCTGCGTATGTGCAAACTTTTAAAGTCAGATCTTATGCAGTCAATTTTGTGAAAGTCGGCACAAGTCGCCTTATAAGACTTTGCTCTTCGCTTTGCTTCCCCGTGCATGTCTTTCTTAGATAGCAAGATAAATGACACTAAAAGGTTGAAAGATCCTAAAAAAAATCTGTCTGTCTTCCCATGGTGCACCTCTTTTTGACATGCACAAACCAAGCAAGAGTACTAAAATATCTTTTGGCATATTTCAGCATATTTCTTGTCATCTAAACAAAAAAACATGACTCTGAACGTCTGAAAATATGCGTCGCCAAATGCATTTAAAGGGGTCCTATTATGCTTTTTCACTTTTTCAACTTTAGTTAGTCTGTAGTGTTGCTGTTTGAGCATAAAAAAAGATCTGCAAAGTTACAAAGCTCAAAGTTCAATTCAAAAGGAGATATTTTATTGAACAGAAATCACTTTCAAAAACTACAACGAACGACTCGTTTGGACTACAACGCATATTTTCCGGGATTTGTGATATCACAAATATGGACGAGTGGGACGAGACCTGGTTGAGCTGCACTAGAGAAGTCAACGAGTGTTATCACTATGTCGGAGACACGCTAGCTTTCCCAAGGCAGACGAACTTAGAATAGTTACAATCATCCGGGTTTAAATAGTGCTCAAATTGATTTGATTTTGACGCAATATTTACACTGAAGCTCACAGGTGGCAATGGTAAGGGGCATGACATTTCCAAAGCAGGCGCCGAGTGCTGCCAATCACAACACACACTGGCCCAGCTAACCAATCACAGCACATTTAGTATTTCAGAAGGCGGGCCTTCATTTGATACAGGAACTATCCGAGCCGTTCATGCCAGACTGGGGAGAGAGGTGTTGTAATAATGTAAAATATGTGAAAAATAATGTGTTTTTCGAACAACTTAGTATGAGAGCCTGTTCTAGTACACCCCCAAAACAAAAGCAAGACTTTGTAAAAGAGCATAATAGGACCCCTTTAAACACATATTATTAAATATTCATAAGCATCACAGCATGTGATTTTCATTGGCTAAGATTGGCTCAGAGTTTGTTATATTAAAAAGTCATAATTTAGTTCTACATGACCATTTTCACTCTCTCTTTGACCTTTAGAAACATACTCACATACTGGCATAGTTCACACTTGTCATTCATCAGGACTAGTAGTTGAATACTCAATAGGTATGATATGTAAACACAGGCAGTCATTTGCTAATGTGCTTATTTAAAGTCACAATCATAACAATTTTGACCCAGTTCTGCAGCAGTGAGGTTTGAGGACCAATTTATTTTTCCAGAATACCAAACAGTAGGCTTAAGTGTTTCCCATTATTAGTATGATGAATAGACGAAATGTAAATACATTTATTGATTTATTTTATTGTAAATTAATATATTTACTTTTTATAATAGATATTACTATGTTGGTTGCATTCAAATAATTTTATCTTAGTGGTAATTTATTATAAACCTTATTAATTTACATACAATACACTACCAGTGTGGAGTGACAGTAATGATATTTATGTTACAGGAATATTTTTATTTCAGACCAATTCTCCCTTTTGAATATAAAAATTAAATCTCTTTAAAATAGAATATACAATTGTTATTATATTGTTTTTTTATTATATTATAAAAAAAATTATATTCACTAAATAATATAATACACTATAATAAAATGTAATATCATAATACTATATAATATAATGCAATATCATATCATATAATACACTATAATATAATGCAATATCATATCATATAATATAAACCTTTAAAATATAAAACACTTTATTTTGTTGTAAATGTATTATAAATTGTATTCGGTCTACAGTATTTTAATACTTCGACATCTAAATGTGTTGTATTAAAACAGATGATCATCATACATAAACTAGTAATTC